TGTGGCTGAGGATGAAAGCAAGGGTGACAGACATGGAGACAGGGGCACCAAGGGCTGCCCTGGCAGAACTTGCTGAACTCTGAGGTCTCCCTTGTGAAAGGTCTGCCTTTCAAATGTGGTTTTCTTTCTTTCTTTTTTTTTTTTTATTTGGCTTTTCTTTTCTTTTTTTTTGTTTTGTTTTGTTTTTCAGGTTTCTGGAGAACAAGGTGATAAATAAAATTATTTCCTTACTCTATGGCTAATAAATTCAGGAGACAGAGAGGAAACAAGAATCAATCCCAGGAGAAGAGGAAATACGGGATTATTGTCATGTCAAGGGGGACATTGGTGTCCAAGGTGGGGGACACAGGGCAGGGGGTGCAAGTTTACACCAGTGGCTCCTGTCAAGCACTTCACTGGGTTTCAGTGCTGGAACTGGGAGAAGTGGAATTGAAGTGGGGCTTAAAAATCAAACAGAACTCAAGCGAAAAGGACAAGTTTTGTGTGTGACTGGGTTCAATAGTTTCTTCAGTCCTAAAATTGTTTTCTCACAGTATGTTTCAAGCCTAGAAAAATGGTAACATAGGATGGTTTCAAAGCCTAAACAAATCTCACTGAATGCTGTTTTTCATTAGTGATTTCTGGGCACTCCAGAAAACATTTCTAGACTTGCCTTGTTCACAATGGCTCCTTTGATCAAAATTGAATACATGAGGGATAAATATGTGTATTTTTAAGCCAAGTATTTTGCTCAGTAACATGATGAAAAAGTGAAAAAGCTTTAAAAATTAATACTTTAAGTCTTGCAAGCACTCTGAGATTTTCAAGTACACAGACTTCTCCTGCCAGTTTTTAGGAACAGTAAATTTTTAGCAATATGCCTCTGTTACCCTGCAATTTCACATTCATTTCCATGTCTGTTGTGTTGTTAGTCCTCCTGCTTTGTGGGGTCTGTGGGCACAGCAGAGTAATTCTGTCACGTGCATTCTGCATGGCAGGAATAAAACACAGCAAGGAGGTTTATCATCTCTAGTAAAGGTGTGTTGTTTGATCCATTCTGTTTCTCCTTTCAGAGAGAGGACTCCAGGTGCCAATTTGTTGCAGGTCTTGGGAGCCTCCTAACAGGGAATGGCAGCAGGGATGAGGGAAAAAGCCTCCAGAGATGTTCTGGTGACTGGACCTGTGCAGATGTTGGAAGAGGATGTGCCCTTGCCCTTTTCAGCTGCAGTGCCCCTGCAGCCACCATGGAAGAGGGCAAAAGATGCTGCCAGCTTTGCCAGGAGCAGATGGTTTATTTCAGGAACAAGATGCTGCCAGCTTTGCCAGGAGCAGATGGTTTATTTTGGCGGTGCCAAAGTGTGTGATGAGGTGGTGGCTTTGGGAAGTTTGGGTGCTCTGCCCTGCACTCACAGCCAGTGGCTCACTTCAGATGAGGTGGAAAAAGAAGGGTCACTGAGTCCAGAGGCAAATCCTGACCAAGATAAAATAAATCTTCCCTCTGCAAGTACAGGAAACACTGTGTTCTTTGAAACAGGTCCAGTATGTTTGATTAAGTGCTTCTTTGTGAAAAAGTTCAGTATGTGTTGGCATCAAAGCCACAAAGAGATTAAGGGAATGAGCCCAGCTCCTTTTAAACCCAAAACTAGAGCTGGCCCAGCTGCACACTTATCAGAAACCTGAATTTAGGCTGGGCTACTGAAAAATATCAGTGGAGAGGGGCAGCTTATTTTATTCTTCCTTTGCCTAGGGACATTTTGAAAAGCCCAAAATTTTGAAGTGTTCCACACCATTGGGACAGAAATTAAGAGTCTGGATTTGTAGAATTCCCTGTCAGAGCTATTTTGGCTTTATCTTTTAAAAACAATTATAATAGAGGTCATGGAATTCACTGAAGCCAAATAAATTTGCTCCAGGGCTCCAGGTGGAGCTTGAATCAAAATTTCCTGGGTTTAAATTCTGCAATTGGTTGGTTTTTGCTTGTTTGCTTTTGTTAGGTGGGGGTTTTTTGGATTTTTTTTTGGGGGGGGGTTGTTTTTTGGGTTTTTTTGTTCTTTAACTGGAATAATGTATTTTCATATTATACCAATCTATAAAAAGCTTTCCTATTGCTAAATTTTACCATCACATTTTGTGCATATGTGTGTACATGCTTATAAATAGCCTATTAGATCATGGGCCAATTTAAGATTTTTCATTATTTTCTTACAAAACTGAGAGAAATGCACAACATTACAAATAGAAAGCAAGACCATGGCTTTTTATCTGGTTAGATTCATTTTTATGAGATAAATTCAGTCTCAAATAGTTTCAGGCACCAGCCACATAACAGAGGAAAAGAAGTGCAGAGAATTAGGTCTGTGTTTCACATTAAAAAAATAAAAAATCCCCTAGCAGGCAAAACTGATGAGGGAACTGCAATCCCATTGCAGGGCTATGGAACTGTACAATTCCCTGGGGCTGCCCCAGCAATGGCCCTGAGCACATGGAGCCAATAATCCCAGCAGCAGCTTCTCAGGGAATAAGAATATAGATATTATGCAAAGACAGACAAAGTCTATTCATTGCTTGACTGGTACCTTTACTCCAAACAATGAAAAATCCCAACCAGCTGTTGGGAATGGTTTCCCTTGGTGTTTTCATTAGAACTTGTAACCCACTGTTCTCCCACTGGTATTTGGAGAAGGAAGAATAATAGCACCAAGAGGATGCACTCTCTATTCTTCCTAGGCTGATGACATGGAAAAATGTCTATTTACATCTTCTTAGAGTATAAAAATGCCTGAAAGGTGGCAGTCTTCTCCACGTCTTTTAGGGGGGTCAGAACAAGTGGGACTAAAAAGTCACTATGAGATCAGTTTACCCTGCTTTTTAATGGAAATAAGGCTGATGAGGTCACTCTTAGGCACATATGGGGTAATTTCCTCCACAAAACTGTCAACAAATTTCAATTAAATTTAACAGAGGGCGAGCATCTTGCCTCAGAAGCACAGTTTCTACAAATGTCAATAAAACAGGCAGCTGAAGAAAAATACCCCATCAATTGCCAGGGAGGGAAGTGCCACAACACAAATGCCACCTCTGTTACGCACCAGGTGATCCAAATGGTAGAAAAATGTTATTAAGGAGAAAACAGGGGAAGGGTTTATTCCTGATTTTTGGGTTTTGCTACACCAGCCACCTGCCAGAGACTTACATCTAGCTTAGCTAAGCAGTTTGGGGTTTCCCCAGCGGAATTTGGGGGTAATCATCTGCCATAACTTTACAATTAAGAGAATCAGAGGAGCTGCTCATAATTTGCCTGGTCTCAGCAGCACCAAATGTTGCAGTACAACATTAGAGTGCAGGATTTTCTGTAGGGAAGGTTGTGGATAATCACACCACTTTCTTTAAGGTGTGGTGCTATAAGTTCAGAGGCAATAAACCCTCGGCTGATCTGAATGCACAGCAGAACTTTCCTAGAGGTGGTGCAGAGTAATATTCTGCTCCTTTTTCCTACTGCTGTCCAAGCAAGTGAAGGACAAGCAGCTCCTAACACAGAATTCAACCTTCACCATCAGAAAGGCAGTTTCTCGCATTGTTAGTGAGAGAGACTTGAAGATATTCTGACAGGCCATCACATTTTCCTGGAATATGTAATAATTTCACTGTGATAACCTTGGGAAAAACAATTTTAGTCTCTGAATCCACATCTGAACAATTGCAGCCATCTTCAGTAAACTAAAGAGCAATGAGTAAAGCCCATAACTTTGTTAATGAACTGAAGACACAACCACAGGCAGAGGTTTGACAAATCAAGGGAAAGCACTGCCTGCAGCCCAAGTGACTCCAAGACTCCTTGGTCTTTGTCAGTCCACCCATCACCCTCGGTTAACCCATTGGGATGCAGCTTGTCATTTTATCTTAGCAAAACCTAACCAATGCAGTTACATTAAAAAACTAAAATCATTTACCACCACAAGTAGCCAGAACAAGACACTGCTGTTTGACTGTGCAAAGCCAGGTGTGAAATGGAACGAGCTACGGCAAGGTGAGATGGGTGAATGCTACTTCATATCCTTTGGAAATAAACTGCAAAGCCCAGCAGAATCAGTTTCCACAGCAGCAAAGCATTTGCACAATAATGGACACTATTACTTTATTAGTTCAGCAGCACTAAATCAAAGGAGGAAAGGTCAAAGAATATGTTTGCAGCTTATTGTTCCTGGCTACTGGAAACATACATTCCCTCTACTAAAAGTCTGAATGTTTACCAGTTGCAATGTCAGCCTTGTCCCAAGATGAAAACCCAGTATTTTAATGAAAACCTCTGCTCTTTCAGTGAACTTTGGTGACAGCAGCACACAGGTAACTAACACCCCACACTACAGATTCACAAGTCATCAAATTTCCCCGTAGCAAATGACTCAAAAAAAATCTGTCCTTGTAAACAAGAATTAGTGTTAGCAGTCTTAGAGCTTCAAATACTGTAAGATAAAGCCCAGAGTGTTTGTTAGTAATTATCCAGCCTGAAGGATAACACCCATTCATACAAACCAGGCGCTGGTTGCAAGGAAACAAAACCAGGTCAGCGAGACAAAGTACCCAACATTTTCCCTGTGCAAGATTAGCACCTACCACTCCACAATACTTACATTTATTAACCTTCAACTTGCTTCCATCTACTGGAATTGGAAGGGCTGCCTGGGGACTGAAAACATCTCCTGGCAATGAGTGTTCATGTATGGCAGAGATGCAGGAGCAGCCCTGAAAACGCAATCCTCGCTTCTTGCCGGTCACTCGTGTTATTCCTCAGGATGTTTTAAACTGAGATGGGTGCCCTGTAACCCAGGGACAGGGTGGGCAAGTGCCAGCTGGATCACAAACCCTTCTCTCCAAGCAGTGCATGGTTCCTGGCAGCTCCTTAATATTCTTCACTAGTTTCTTCAGAACAGCTTATTTCACCCAGAGTAATTCAGTGCATTGTAGCATGGCATTGGTATCTTGTGTTATGCAAGATTTTCAGTAACTTTTCCTTCAATTTGCATGGTAATTAGCATTTTCTGTTTATAAGGTTCCTATTTATGTCTCAGAAATTTGGTATGTTGTTTCTAGTTAGTTCTGATTCACTTCTACAGATCTTCACTTAACTTTTGGTCATGTTTTCTTCTTGCCTTTCATGCAAATGGACCCAATGCTTTTGCTGTAGCTTTGTATTGAAATCTAACATCATAAATCAAGTTGATGTTTTGCTCCACTAAAATCTTGTGACTGCAGGTAGGAAGAGCTGGGAGCAAATAGTGCAAGGAAGTTGACTGTGGAGACTGAAGGTTGTCCAGCTATTCTTGGCTATTTTGCAGGTGGATGTGATATTCAAAGCTCTGGAGCCAAGGCTGAGCACCATCAAGTGGTTGTGGCTGCTCTGCACAGGTGAGTGTGACAGGAAATACACGCTGAGCTGCAGGTAAACTTCTGGTTTAATGTAAATATTTATTTAAATTTTTGTCTCTGAAAGCAAAGCATTTATCTCCTGACTTCCCTGTTATTCAGTACCTGCTGAACTGGGTGTGTATTTTCCTAAGCTAAGGAAAACCCTCCCTGTGATTCTGTAATTTCCAAAGGAGCAGCATTAAGTCACTTATGTTTTTCTTGTCTCCATAACTTTAGCCTGACTGGTGCTCAAAGACAGGAATGACTCAAGAACTGTATGTGGTGAATTGTTAGTTTGGTGGGGATTTTTTGCAAGTTTAGGGCTAAAATGTGATGTAAGAAAAGGCTTTTTTTGCAGCATTAGATTTTTGCAGCATTGCAGCTTTTCAAGCTTTCTAAGTAAGTCACCTCATTCCAATTTAAACTCTCTTGAAATATGCTTGATATGTTGGGTTTTTTTCCCCCATTGTTATGTTAGTTTTTGTTTTGGTTTGATTTGGCTTTCTTTTTTGCCTGGCTTAGGAAACTTTAACAGATCTCACTTTTTTCTTCTCCAGTTGAGTGCAGTGCTATCTTCTTAATTCAGAAAACATTTGCTGTATGGAAAAACCACCTTGCCTTGTGAAGGGACAGGTGGGAACTGTTATAATGGCCAGTGGCACAGCCCTGCAGCACAGAGATTCCCTGCAGATGCTGCTGCTGTACCCGGCTGATGAGGTGATAACCAGCTTGGCTTTATTGCCAAAATAAAACTTATCTGTTTTCTTATGAATCCCAGCAAACTGTTCTCAAAGGCTTTGTCACTCAGTCACTGCTTCATTGGTGTGGAGAGGCTGGATCCCAGTTATCACCCCAGGAGTGCCCCTGCATCCCTTTTCCCCACTTTTCTGTTCCAGTCGTGGGAAATACCTGGGCTTTGTTTTCTTCCCCCTGCAGTTCACTGCAGATCCCAGAAAACCCACAGGAGGGAAGATCATTACTTGTGCTTCCACCACCAGGTGAGAGAAGAGATGGCCACATCCTAGGAGCCTGATTTTGGAATGTTTTATGGAATTGGCCCAGTAGCTTTTACTTCTGGAGTTCCCTAGTCTGTCCATGGCAGGTCCAGCCCGTGCTTCAACTTAGAGCCCTCAGCCTGCAGGGAAATTAATCTTTGGGGAAGTTCTTACAGCTCTGCTTATTGTTTTATGAATGGTGATGATTTTCTGGAAGTAGGCTGTCCATTCTGACCCTTTTTCTTCCCTCTCCCTGCAGACTGTACCTGCCTAGAGGCTGAGGTGAGACCAGGATCTGTAAAATCCCTGACTCCGTGTCTTCCTGAGGCTGAAGCTGTGTTTGCTGTCAGTGACGACATGGTGGAAGATGCTGAACACTGAAAACTTCGGATTTTTTCCCCTGAACCCCAATACTCTCTGCAGCTGTGCCCTGTCTATCTCTTGAAAGTTTTCTGGGTTTACAAAGGTTTTTACATTCTGTAATATTTATCTATACCTCGATTAAAAAGAATCATACTGTATCAATGTGGTGTTAATTACTTTGTTTGTGTTGGTTAATTAAAGCAAATGATTGATAAGGGGTTTGAGCATCCCTTAGTTGGAGCTGGCAGCTCTTATTTAATTTCTCTTCATTCCTTTAATTTCTTTCTATTATTTCTTAAGCAATTACTGCAATTAGGATATACAGTAAGGACAAGACCATTTCTGCCCTGCTGGATTGGGAAATGCAAGCCCAATTCCTTGGAGAGACTGAGGGGATGGGGAGCTGAGCCTCAAGCTGGATTTTGACAGTGGGAATTTGGTGAGGGAGGAAGAAGAGAGATCCCACAGAAAGTGGCTGAGGCCACCAAGAAAATCATCCTGGTTAAAAGGAACTTGAAGAAGCCGGGGGGCTGTGCCAGGGGGCTCTGCTGGGACCCCCAAACCCTGTTAGGGATGCTGGGCAGTGTCGGCTCCAGAGGAACACTGCAGAGGGGCTGTGCTGGAGCCCCTCAGCTTCCATCCAGAGATGCTGGGCACTGCTGGGCTTTCGGGGCACTACTGAGAGGCTCCGCTGCCAGATCCGGGGAGTTTTCCCCTTATTTTCTGTGCTGCTGAGCACCTGGCAAGTCATTCCAGCCCCACAGGCTGCCAATGCCACCGGAGCAGTCACAGAAACCGGCCTGGGAGAGGAAATGAGCTGTTCCATGTTTTTCACAATGCGTTTTGAATTTACACCAGAATCTCTTCTCTCCCCTCAGTCCCACACCCCTGAGTTTTGTGTTTTCTCATAAAACTTTCTCCTCGGCCTACACTGGAAAAAGGAAAATTCCCTGGCACGGCGGGGAGCGGCGGGGTTTGGGGGTGTTGGGGCCGGCACGGGGGTCCCCAGGCCCCGCCGGTTTCAGTCAGCAGCGGGAAATCGCCGCCGCCGCCGGCTCGGCCCCGGAGCCCGGCCCGGAGCGGCTCCCGCCGCACGCGGTGGTCCCGGTCCCGGTCCCGGTCCCGATCCCGGTCCCGGCCCCGGCACCGCCCCGGGAGAGACCCAGACCCCGCCCGCCGGGGCAGAAACGGCACCGCCCGGGAACCGAACCGGCGTCCCTGGACACCGCCCCGGCGGGGCCGGGAGCGGTGGCCCCGCCTCCATTGGGCGGCACCGGGAGCGGCGGCCCCGCCTCCATTGGGCGGCACCGGGAGCGATGGCCCCGCCTCCATTGGGCGGCACCGGGAGCGATGGCCCCGCCTCCATTGGGCGGCACCGGGAGCGGCGGCCCCGCCTCCATTGGGCGGCACCGGGAGCGGTGGCCCCGCCTCCATTGGGCGGCACCGGGAGCGGCGGCCCCGCCTCCATTGGGCGGCACCGGGAGCGGCGGCCCCGCCTCCATTGGGCGGCACCGGGGCGGAGCTCCAGGTGCGGGGCCCGCTCTGGCACAGGTGTGCGGGGCCGCAGGGCGCCTGCGCGGGGCGGGGCCGAGGTTATTTAAGTGCCGGGAATCGCCGCAGCGGCCATTTGCTCACGCTGAGCTCGGTGCGGACGGGTGGGTTCTCTCCTTCTCCCTCTCTACCCTTCCTTCCTTCTCGTATTACCCTTATTTCTCTTTCCCCCTTTCCTTCTCGTCCCCTTTCGGCCTCTCCTCCCGTCCCGCCCTCTACCCTTCTTTCCTTCTCTCCATATTTCTGTTTTTTCTCCCCTAAACCCACCCCCCCACTCCTCCCTCTCCTGTCCCTGCTTCGCTCCTCCGTTCCATTCCCCCGCTCTCCCTCCTCTCTTCCCGTCCCCTTTTCCTTCTTTCCTCGCAGCCGCGGGGTTGGGGGTGCCGGCGAATAAAGCCCAGAGGGCCGGAGCCCGGCGCCCCCCGCCCTCGCTGGGGTCCCCACACGGGGCAGGAGCCGCTCTGCGGTCCCCCCATTGCAGTGTAATACACCGCCCGACACTGCCGGGGCTCCGGCTGTCCCTACATCACACTGGGGGTCGGGCTGGGGGGCAGGGGGTTGGGGTTAGGGGGGGGGGGGGGGGTTAGGGTGGGTGGGGGGGGTCAGGGAGGGCCCCCTCATTAGGAGGGGGTCCTGGGGGGGGGGGTTAGGAAGGGCCCCCTCCGGAGGAGGGGGTCCCGGGGGGGGGGTCGGGGGGGCCCCCTCCGGAGGGGGGGGTCCCGGGGAGGGGGGTGGGGTGGAGGGGGGGGGCCTCCCCCCTCCAACCCCACCCCCCTCCCCGGGACCCCCTCCTCCGGACGGGGTCGGCCCCGGCCCCCTCCCGGGGACCCCCTCCTCCGGACCGGGGCCCGGGGGGAGGGAGGGGGGGCGGGTGGGGTGGGGGGGAAGCAGAGGGGGGCACGTCACTCTGCGGCGTAACAGACGTTAAAAAAAAAAACCACACACACCAGCGGCCCTCCTGCCCTGACCCCCCCCCCCCCCCCCCCCCCCCCCCCGGGCCCCGGTCCGGAGGAGGGGGTCCCCGGGAGGGGGCCGGGGCCGACCCCGTCCGGAGGAGGGGGTCCCGGGGAGGGGGGCGGGGTTGGAGGGGGGAAGACCCCCCTCCACCCCCCCCCCCCCCCTCCCCGGGACCCCCCCCTCCGGAGGGGGCCCCCCGACCCCCCCGGGGACCCCCTCCTCCGGAGGGGGCCCTTCCTAACCCCCACCCCCCCCCCCCAGAGCCCCCTCCTAATGAGGGGGCCCTTCCTAACCCCCCCCCCACCCCCTAACCCCAACCCCCTGCCCCCCAGCCCGACCCCCAGTGTGATGTAGGGACAGCCGGAGCCCCGGCAGTGTCGGGCGGTGTATTACACTGGAATGGGGGGACCGCAGAGCGGCTCCTGCCCCGTGTGGGGACCCCAGCGAGGGCGGGGGGCGCCGGGCTCCGGCCCTCTGGGCTTTATTATCCGGCACCCCGAGCCCCGCGGCTGCGAGGAAAGAAGGAGAGCGGGAATGGGGAACGAGAACAGGGGAGCAGAGCGGCAGTCGAGGGGAAGGGGACAAGGACAGGGGGCAGGTGGGGAGAGGTCGGGGTGTGCGGGGCAGTCGGGGAGGGGGCTGGGGGGAAGGCAGGGTGGAGGAAGGAAAGGAAGGATTGAAGGCAGGTTTGGGGAAGGAGGCGGAACGTGTGCAGGGGGAAAGGGGACCAGGGAAAGGGGGCGCGGGGGATCCCGGCTGGGGAGGGAAGGAAGAGGGACAGGATGGAGGAATAGGGTAGTGGTGGGGTGAGTAGGGGAATATAAAGAGAAGAAAGAAGGGGGTGTAGGGGGGGGGGACCGCCCGGGGGGGAGGGAGGGGAGGGCTAGGGGGGAGAGGGAGGGGGGGGGGTTTGGGGGGGGGGAGGGTGTAGGGGGTGGGGGAGGGGAGGAAGGGAGGGTAGAGAGGAGAAGTATAGAGAAAAAGAAACGCAAAAGAAAAGAAACACAGAAGAAATGAAATATAGAGAAAAAGAGATAAAGGGGCCCGGCCGGGCGCAACCTCCCCTCCCGAGCGCTGAGGAGCAAATGGGCGCGCCTGGCGCTCCCCGCGGTTTAAATACCCCCCGGCCCCGCCCCGCGCAGGCGCACTGGGGCCCCGCGCACCTGTGCGCGCACCTGTGCTGGCCCCGCCCCCGGCCCCGCCCCCCGCCCGTAAATGGCGGCGGCTCCGCGCCCGCCTCACGTTCTGCGGGGGATGCTCGGCCCGGGCTGCGGCGGGACCGGCGCTCGGAGCGGCGTGTGGAGATGAGATCGGGGCTGCTCCCGGCGCTGCGCGGCGTCCGACGGGCTCAGGTGGGACCGGGACTGGGATCCGGGCCCGGGGATTTGGGCCCCGGTCCCGCCGGTGGCTGCTGTGGGAGCCGGGCAGAGCCGCTCCTTCCTCGGCGGGCGGGGTGGGGGTGCCGGGGCCGGAGGATCGAGGCGGGATCGGGGCTGGGATCGGGACCGGCAGCGCCGCTCGGCCGGGGCCGCCGCTCCCGCTCCGGCTGCGCCCGGTGCGGGGCTGCAGGAGCCCGGAGCCCCCGGAGGGCAGAGAGCACCTCCGGTCCTTGGCTCGGCAGGGCAGGAGCTGCCGTGCCCGGCCCGTGGCTCGCAGCGTGCCCAACGCACGGCCCGGCACGGGCACCGGGGCACCAGACACGGCTGAAGGGCTGCCCGTGGCTCCTCGGCCAGGGGCTGCTCCCCACAGGCACGCAGGGATGCTTCAGCCCGGACAGACGGCACCGACAGCCCCGAGGGACCCCAAGGTGCAGCTGGCATTACCTGGGAATGGAGATACAGATGCTTGCAGAGCAGCTCAGACAGCAATTCCTGGTTCTGATCTCCCCGAGCTCCCACGCAGCTGCCAGGTATGTCCCAGCCACCCCAAATCTCCTCCCTCTTTTCCAGCCTGAGGCTATCATCCACTAGCAGCATTAAAGCCAAGGCAATCTTTCCTTGCAGATACTAAATGCCAAGCCATAGCCTCGGAGATGCCTTAAAATCAGAGGTTCGAGTGGGATGATGTCTGGAGATTTCCAGGGAGCCAGTTGGAGGTGCAGAAGTGATGGAAAACTCTCACAGGTGGGTCCCACTGGAGGTGTGCTGCAGGCAGGGATGTGCATCTCTTTCCTGAGGGAAAAGGCCGTGCAGAGGCCACTGCTGAGGCTCTGACAGGAGCTGAGCTTCTGCAGGAGAGATGTTCTGCCTCAGCACAGGCCGGGAGCGCATCCAGCCACTGCCTTGTCCTGCTTTAAAACATCAACTGGAGCCTGAGCTCTGGGGGGTGAAATCAGCTGAGTTCCAGGGAGCTCTGTCAAGTGACCCCAGAGACAGCCCTGGGGCTGGGGGATGAGGGTTTTAAATAGTAAATTCTATGGAATATAAACCTGTCCTTGTCCCACTGAGCTTCCCTGGAATCTCTGCAGGTTCCTGACACAGCTGATGTGAAAGTGGCAGCTCTGCATGGGAATTTCCACGAGGCACTGTCAGGTTATTCCAGCAGGAATTCAGCAGGGAACCTGGGGCTGTGGGTATAATTCATCTGAACTAGCAAAGCTGATACTGAATCCCAAACTTGAGCAGCACACAGACAACAATCTTTGTGCTGAAGCCCCTGGGCTGGGAAATTCCAGCAGCCAAATGTATAGAATGATCTAAATCCCAGCAGCCAGCACTGCCCAGAGGGACAATCCAAGTGCCAGGATGGGAGCTCGTGTCCTTCCCCTGCTGCTGGTGGGACAAATTCCCTTGGCACAGCTGGCTGGGTGGGAGCTGAGAGCAGGAGGGGCGGGAGCAGGGATGGGAGATGAGGCTGCTGGAATGTCACCTGGAGTAGCTGAACACGTTCTATCCCTGCAGGAGCCAAAGCAGATCCCTCCTGGCTGGACTGGATGGGAGATGAGGCTGCTGGAATGTCACTTGGATCAGCTGAACACTTCTGTCCCTGCAGGAGCCAAAGCAGATCCCTCCTGGCTGGACTGGATGGGAGATGAGGCCGCTGGAATGTCACCTGGAGCAGCTGAACACTTCTGTCCCTGCAGGTGACAGGAGCCAAAGCAGATCCCTCCTGCCTGGGCTGGTGGGCAGCTGCTGGATCTGCTCTGGGGGAAAACTCCCTGCCCCTGCCAGGAGTGCTGACTCTGCTTTTCCTCCAGCTCCTGAGCAGTGTCAGGGCCACCGGGAGGGGGTTCAAACCCAAAAAGTCCCCACAGCCCCCAGAGTGAATGATCCCAGCAGAGAAATGCAGCACTGAAATGAAAAACTTGCAGCTCTGTTAAAAAGGCTGTGACAACACTGTAATGGGATTCCCAGGAACCTTCTGGATTGCTCTTGGTTCTGCTTTTATGTATTTTTAGTCCCTCAACGGGCAGCTTGTAGAATTTATTCTGGGACTTAGAGGTTGAGCAGGGTGGGCTCTGGACTGACCTTCGCCTCTGGTGCCACTTTGTGCGAACACAACTTGGCCAGGCTGGGTGAACTCATGGCCTCAGCTTTCCCCTCCAAATGTCCCTCCCTTATTTCCCTGTGGCTGAGCTGGGATTTGGTCCCAGACTGTCACTCCTCACCTCCCCGTGCCCCCACAGTGTCCCTTCTGTTCCCCACAGAGCCCTGGGGACACCAGGGGGTCCCTTTGCCTTCTCCCGCCCCTTTCCAGCCCGAGGCTCCTCTGCCCTTGTCCCACACAGCACAGGGGCACAAAAGGGGAAAGGCTCCAGAAAACATTTCTGCAATTAACCAGCAATTATTTCAATTCCCCAGTGAGAAGAACATGAACTCACAGCCACCGAGGCCTGAGGGGTTCCTGCAGTGAGAGCTCAGCGCGTGTCCCCAGAGGTGAGTGCAGCATCTGAAAGGAAAAAACACAGGGGGAAAATGTGATTTATTTTGCTTCAGAGTTATTTTCATGTTCTTAAAGCCCAACCAACTTTTGCTGTTGATTTTGGTCGGGTGGAACAGGAGCAGTGGGCAGGGGTCGTGCCATTGATGTGACGTGCCTGATGCCTTCTGGGGCAGAAAAATTAGATTAAGCTCACCTAATGGCAAGCAGTTATTAGAAAAGATTTATAGCTCTTTAAACATAACACCCTTTAATTACCATAATGTTTATTCCATGATTTTAACTCATTCTCAGTGTATTTTATAAAACTTAAAATAACACCTCCTCATAAACCATTAGACAGAGTCCTACTGCCAGTCACACGCTTCCACATCTAACAGCAGACCCTCCCCATAATCAAACAAAAAACCAAAATAATGTGCCAAACGTAGTCCTTACTAACATTAAAAATGCAACTCAACCGTATCTAAAAAAAACCCAACTTTATTTCCTCCAAACACCAAATACTCTTCAAATTCTGAATGAAAAACTCTTAAAAAAACAACAAAAACCATCAAAACATACTTCAAATATAGAAAAGCCTAGCTATATAAATGTTTTATATTTTTGTGGGCTTTGAGAAATAATCTAATCATTATCCTACATTTAAAAAAGCCCCACTATACAAATTAGTACCATTCTAAATATAACATAAATAAAAATGTTTTACTAAGAAACATATCTCCCAATAAATAAAAGATATAAGTAATAATCATAAGTCATAAGTCAACAATCTAAAATTTCTCAAAAACCAAAATACTTTAAAAAGTCTATTTATAAATATAACATTCAATAAGTTAAGTATTAATAAAATCAAACAAAATTAATTTTCACTAAATTTAAATTAACTATTCTTAAATTTCATTTTATCACTTTATTATTCTATTAAAATTAAGTTAATTATTCCTTACTATCAAAATTCATTCTAAATTTAAATGTTATTTAATATAACTTCTCTTCAATTGTATTAAAAATAATTTCTCTAAACTATAAAGTATATGGTTAATTTTCTTAAAAAAATAAAGCAACTCCAATTAAAACAACTAAAATAAAACACTAACATCTATTAATAAGTAAAAGAAATACAGTTTATTACATCATAAATTTCATCAAAAATTCTATTCTTCATTACAATCTCTACTTTTTTATTTTTTAACACATAAAAAAAAAGTAATTACTATTAAGATCATGCTATTTAAAATTTTTTATTGTATTTCCTTAACTTAAAAAAAATTTACATATTATCTTCTTCAAACTTACTACTAATATGCAAAGTATATAAATCTATTATTTTTATAATAAACATTATTTATAAAATATTATTATAACATTTTCAACCAATTTTCATATAGTTTACCATCTCTTTATATAATTATCTAAAAAACACATAAAATTTCTAAATTCCACTTTTTTATTCTCTCTTTATACATCTCTTAAACCAAGTTAACTCTCTAACTAATCTCTACACTAACTCTATAATTTAACTTAATATTATCTCACAGTCTCAAAATTAAAAAAACACTTCAATAAAAACCTCCTCCAAACTGTTAATCTTATAACTTTCCTCAGTTATTATTACAAAAACACTTCGATAAAAAACCCAACTACAACATTAATTTATTTTTCTAATTTTCACACTAAGTAACCAATCTCTAATACAACTACATTTCCTCCACCTTCACACTCTGAATATCCAAATCCAAACTCACAATCATGCCTATAACCACTTTCAAATCTTTAAAAAAAAGTTTACTATATTTAAAACATCTCTATTCTAAAAAAAACTTTAAAAAAATCCAATTATTAAATAATGTAATTAATCTTTAATCCTAAAATTTTTACTCTTTACTATTTTTAAAAACATTATGTAAAAATATGTTAAGTAACATCCACCAATTAAAATTTAAACTATAACTAAACCCTAACTCTACCTAAATAAAATAATTAACAACCCAAATACTTTCCACATCAAAAATAAAATTCAAATCCTTTTAACTTAACAATTTAACTTTATCAATATAACAAATAAACTTATTTTTAAAAGAAACTTAAAAAATCATTATCCACACATAATTATCCAACTTTCCACTAATGAAACATTTATCAACTGTTATAAAATCCAAAATAATATACAATATTTTAATATTTACTAATTATATAATTTCATATATGTTACTAATTATAGATATTATCTAAGTAATTCATAAGTATTATCAATTTCTTCTTTACCACATACATTATTTTACTCTTATATTTCTTCATACTTATAACTAAAAAATTATAATAATAACAACCTAATCATTATCTTGCAAATCTCTATACAATTTTATAAAACAAAACTTAACAATACTTTATTTCTCACATCAAAACATAAACTTTACTTATATCTCAACAAGTACAAAAACCCAAGTAAATTTCAATAAGAAACATAAAACCAGATCACACAAAAAACACCCCCACCACTTCACAAATAAAAAACAAATGTAAATACAAATATAAATGACACAATGTAAATACAAATGGAAATTACACAAAAATTCCAACTTACACATAACATCTTGTATTACACCCACAAAAAACGATAAACTTTAAGTTTCTTTATAAATATAAAAATCAATATTATAAAAATCTTATTATTTAATAACTTTAAAAATATAAAATTCCATAAAATATTATACTTCTACTCTATTTACTTTATTTACTTTTAATTATCTCACTTTACCTATTAACCAACCTAAAGCAAACATTTAAGTAACTTTAGTTAACTAAAGTTTCAAGTTTGAATACTTTGTATTTATCTATCACTGCTCAAAAAAATCCATTCTTTACTTAATTAATATACCAATAAAAAAACATTGCAAATAATCCATATAATTAAAAGACCCTTACATTATTAACTCTTAATATAAAAATACCAATTTAAGACACACTCCTCCAAGGTCACAAAAACCACAAACCACTAAAAAATGGGTATTTTATACCAAACAGGACCCATTTCAGAGGTCAAACATCTATGCTGCGTTCCTGAGCATTCCCAAGGCTTTTTGACACAAAATAGAACTTTGCACATGAAGGGCCATTTACCATGTAACAATATCCTCCGTAAAACTTCCCACAGAAAAGCCAGGCACTTGTAACACCCTCGGGAACACATTCCACATAAAGCATCTTCTCCTGCCACATTCCAGCCCAGCTTTCCTCCAAGATTCCAAGGTCAGCACAACTCTTATCTGTAATTTAGGGAAAAAGGCATTTGGTGGAGCCAAGGAATGGAGGAGCTGCCCTGGCCCAGCTCTGCCTCCTCTGCCAGCAGCAGGGGAGATGCAGCTCTCAACCATAAGATCAGTTCAACCTTACAATAATCACCTGGCAATACAAATTATTAACCCCAAAGTCCAGTGCATCATCTGTGTGCTCTCTCAGGAAGTTCAGTGGATCTTTGTGGGACAAAACCTGTTTTGGGCCCAAGAGCTGACTCTAATCCCTGCCAGCAAAAGCCCAGGGGAGAGCCAGGCTCCAAGGGCAGCCCTTGGTGCCTCCAGCAGCTGCTGCTGGAAACGCTGGCAGGACTCGGTACAGACGGGACTGAACCTTGAGACAGCTCTGTCCCCTGGGACCCAGGGTGCCAGGCCAGAGAGACTGATGGAAATATGACACAAGCTTGGTTTAAATGGACACTGATGGGACTGAAAGCCCTGCCCGAATGTGGGAAATGGATTTGTAGAGAATTCTCAAAGCTTGACAGAAGGCTCACAGTGTGCATCTGTATGCAGAATTTGAGGTAAGAAATGTGTACTTAGAAATGCTATGGAATAGGACATTTTCCTCACACAACACACCAATTTATCAGATTATGCCTTTTTCTGACCCAGAAATAAGGCAACTGAGAAGTGTTTTAAAAACTTTTATTCCATTTTCAGTCTCATGTGAAGGGTGAGACAATACAGATGTTATAATTCACGCCATCACAATCAGAAGCCAACTATTTCTTAATTACAATACATTATAAGCATTTCTTGGCCTATCAGCTTTTGCTACACCATGCTGTAAATGCCTTAAAACCAATCATCTAAAATTACCCCTCATGAATCTTGTTACAATGCATCTTTCATAGTTCTATTTCTCTAAAGTATCTAGTCTCATTTACAAACTCATCCTTTAAAACTTGTTTCCAGTTCCATTTCTCTCTCAACAATGTCTATCCTATTCCATGGCATATCTCAAAATTTCCATGCAGATAGATATTATGTAAACCTTCTGTCAAACTCTGACAATTTTCTACAAGTCCATTTCCCACAGCAGAACTGCTCCCTGCCCAGCACAGGAGCTGCAAGTGCTGTTGCAGGGCACAATGTCTGAAGGAACACTGGAGCTGTGACATTACAGCCAGCAAAAACAATTACTAAGTAAAAGAGATCCTCACCTGCTCCAAGAACTGAATCTCTGTGGCTCATCCTCACGGGGTGACCCTGCTCCAGGGAGGAATCTCCACACAGCCCCGAGACCTGGGGTCAGACGCCGCCCTACCAGCAGAAGAACAAGGGGTTAATGAAGCTTTTTGGACACATTCTGTCCTCAGAGTGGTTTGACAAAACATCGTCAATGTGATCTTTAATAAAGACAGCTTGCACCCATGCTTGCACCAGAGTTTCATACATTATTTCCCCAAAGTCTCTGTTTTAATGCATTTTGATATTAAAAGTGTTTCAACAAGATTTACCATGAGCTCTGCACCCTGCCATGCTCCAAGCCCTAAGGAAGAGCTGGATATCCTCACACTCACCCAAGCTGGGGCAGCTCTCACATGGGGAGGGAGCTGCTGCAGCATTTAACAACACTTAGAAATCATCCCTGCCTTGAGGTGTCCAGACCTGGTAGAAAGCCCTTCCACCACCTCTTGGATTCCCCTCCCTGCCACTGGCTTTGCTTCCAGCTTGGGAAGGTTTGTCCTGGGGCCATTTCAGCAGCACAAAGGGCTTTTCCAACCTCAGGGGTTCCCTGGGAGCTCAGTGACTGACCCAGCTGTGCACCCAGGCACGGGGGAAGCTCTAAACACAGATTATCCTGCCCTGGGCCAGAGCACTCCAGGGCATCCTTGGAACAGCTGCAGAGAGCAGAAAAAGACACAGCTGCAGCACTGATCCTGCTCCCGCTTTCCCAGAGGGGCAGGAACACCATTTCCTCCCGATCCTGAGAGCTCCAAGGGAAATCCCTGTTAGGGTGGCACTGAAGGTGCCACTTTTCTGGCACCCTTGCCCCAGAACCACGGCCCAGCAGGTTTCTGTGGGAGCGGGGATTGCTGGTGCAGTTCAGAAGCTGCACATCCCGAAAGCATTTCCTTAGGAACATGAAGCTTCCCACGTGCATTTTGGAGTCCGGTTAGTAATTTAAGCGTATTTCAAGAGAGTTTAAATCGGAATGAGGTGACTTGGTGCCAGCACAGCATTAGCTATGGGCCATCAGGAGACTCACCAGACGACATTCTCTGCAGAGCTCCATTCTCAGCATTCCAGCTGCAGTATTCCCATTTCTCACGGACTCCGAGCTGTGTTTCCAGGGCTCCCATCAGGAAACTGGCAGCCACTTCCAGGTGCAAATCCCCAGGGCACCCCTGATCCCAACCACTGCTCCTCTCCCCCCGGACCCCCCTTCCTCCACCTTTACCCCTTTTATAGGCTCGGCCCCGCCCAGGACACAAAAGGAGGCTCCCAGGTGCCTCCTGAGACCCAAATCATTCCAGGTGCATCAGGAAATCAATAGAAATAAGCTCGTCCCTTTTGGGGTAATGAATTATCTTTTTCTCTATTACCCCTTCTGTCTCCTGTTCCCGTTTCCTAAGGCAAAACACCTGGACCAGGTGGGGGTCAGGGGGAAAATGTCAAGTCCAAAACCAAACCAAACTTGTTTTTCCAGCGGTTTCCATCAGGACTGTTCAGGTTTCCCCCGACCCTCGGCCGTACCACGGGAGCAGCTTCTCCGTGTGACCCCGGGGGTGGCACAGGGACCCTATCCCGCTACTCCCCGGGAAACAGAGCTCAGCCCTGTCCAGTATTGTAAATAACAAATATAGTGATTGCCTTTGGCATTTATGTATTAGCTCTGGCAAGTTATTATTGACCACAAAAATCCTGATAGAGTACAATTTATAATTCCTGCTCTTGATAAATTATAACCCGTCAGTTTATATATTCACCATATAGCTTTTATAAACAGTACTGTCATATATGCTATCCTACACCGTAGCACCATAGAGACTATGAAATGTTAAAATGCTTTTTACACGTAACTAACTCAGAAAGTGGTGTAAAATAATTAGGTGATTTCCCACATTCGGGGACTGTCTTATCTGAAGCACAAGATAAAGGAAACAGAAACCAGAGCACCGGGAAAAAAAGAATTTATTGACCCTCGTTATCAGGGAGTGAAAACACAGCAGGATGGCATCACAGGAAGAAATCAAATATATTGGTTTAATCTACAAGTAAAAGGTTAAAACCAAGCCAAAGAACATCTAAACTCAAAGGAACCTTTGAATATGCATAAATTCTTATGCCTATGCACACAACTATGCTGCAGTGTAACAGAAGACAGAGAACAGGGTTTGAGGTGACCCCCGCACACCTCCGGCCCCTCCAGCCACTCACCTGAAGGCTCCAGTGGCACCTTCCAAGGGCATTTCCCCATCCTTCCTACCAGAGCTGTATTTCAGTATTTTTGTGACCAATACCAAGTGTAAGGCCAGCGTGGCTGAAGAGTAAAACCAAATGTGCATTCACAGTGATAAATGTGTCCCTGCTCTGCACACAAGTGTTGTGTACACCGTGCCAAGGCCATAGGACACGCCCTGCTGCTGCCACCTCACTGAACATGTCACAGACACATCAGGCACCCTCCTGCCACTATTGATCCCAGGGATTTTTCTTTTTCCAGCCTCCAGAATTCATCCAAAGGAGTGAGAAAATGCTGTCAGCGTAAGGAGCTGTACAGTTCATGGGAAGGTCCTCACCGGAAAAGTGACACAAACGGCACAGGGAGCATTTAAAGCAAACCAAGTGACAAAAAGCCATGTTTAGTTCAGAGGGAGGCTGAATCCCTGTATGGAAATCCACTGAAACAATAAGCTAAGCAATGGAAATTCAGGGTATGGCTGTGGTCACGATTTTCTGGTATGAAATATTATTGTATTATCCCAAATAGTCACAGAACAAAACAAAGAAAGGCATTTTAAATCCTAGGCTTATGAGGTGTAAGTGCAATGAGATTAAATGTACAAATTCAGGTAAGGTATAGACTCTAATCACTGTTTCTGTGGTTAATGGGTTTGTGTCCAAACCCGGGTGACCCCCATTTTCTCTATCACCTGTGTGTCCTTGCTGTGTTTCTTTGAATGTCCCAGAATACCCTGGAAGAAATTCTTCCCTTGCTCTTGTCTGTATTTGTCAAAAACAATTCATTTAGACAGCACAGCACTCGCAAAGAACCAACCCCACAGGAGTCACAGCATGATTTCATTCACCCTGAAATCCTGGCCAACAGCATCAGCCCTATGTCCTGTCCCAGAACTGTCTTCCAGAAGCTTTCAGTCCCAATTCAGCAAGACAAGAGAATTTAAAGGATTCAAGTCTTGAATATCAGATGGTGGCAAATATTACCTGTTTTAGGAAGAGTGGACATACACAGGGGATTGGATAACCTGCTCAGAAACACTTCTTTTCCACTCTGCTCTGCAAGAAATTATTTAATACTCCAATACTTCCATGTGGAGGCACACCCTGCTGCTTCAAGGAACTGTCACGTGTGCTGCAAGCCAGCTGTCATTTAATTCCTACCTCTTAACTGTGAATTATTTTTATTATTATTATTTTCTGCCCTCTGTAATCCCTTGTCCCTAACCATTTTCCTGGGCAGGATTATAAACTGCACTTTGAAATAACACACTTGGTCCAACTTGAGGAACTTCATTCAGCACTTTCACCTTTACTTTCTGAATTCAAATCCCAGTAACAGGATTTTGGGCAGCGCAAAGTTTTGCAAGGTGATTTACTCCACATAATTTCTAGGCAAGAAGGTTCTGCACATCTCTTTCCTCCATCACAACTATTTGTTACCTGCATGAGACAAAGGCAGCTGAGTTAAGGCGCAGACACCAGGTAAAAACAACCAGCTACTGCAGGAGGACAACGAGCTGTGAACAGATTTATTTTATTTACATCTCTGTAACTGGAGCTCTCACGTTGAACACAAGTCAGCCAGGAAGGACCTGGCAGCTGGGTGGTGTGCCCTGCATGGGGCTGGGCTGGAGCCAAACTGCATCCCTACATGCAGCCTCTCACTGAGAACTTCTCAATTCCCTTTCAAACAGAAAACCACAGGAAGGGACACAATCACTTATTCCAACTACAAAAACACTGAGATGCTTTTCAGGACCCAACAGTGTTCAGTCAATTCTTATTTGCAGTTCACGAGCGAGGTATTTCAGCAATAAATTCCCTGTCATTGCTAAGAGCTGAGCAGCTCCTAAGTGAGAGGGTTTCCAATTATGTTTTTCTAGCAGTAGCTCAAAGCTTAAGCAGTTTCAGCATACACCAGCCTGAAGCCACTGGATTTCAGGCATCTTGCATGGACATTTTATAACTTAAATGAAAATTCTACCTGCAGTCTTAAATACATAAATACCTTCTGCCACTTGGCTCTACTGAAAAGCTTTCTGCTAATATAATACAGTATTTTTTTAACAGAGGGCTAACCATATTCCTAGTTGGCCTATTTTCAATCAGCACATTGGTTATTGCGGTATTTTTCTATGCCAGCCTCTTGGTGGCAGGTCACACATCAGCAGGGTTTAAAGCTGAATGCTTTGGGCTTTTCAGAGGAGTTTTTGCCTAAGTTCCAAGCCAGATCCAGCACGCGTTGTTTGGGTGATGTGGCGCGTCTCCATGGGTGCTCCCAGCCTGCACCCTGGCGCTGCAGGAGTTAATGGTGAGCAGAGGCTTCTCCCACTTGGAGGCTGAAGCCCCAGAAGGCAGCAGCAAGAGTGCCCTTCAGCAGCCCAGGCATTCCTGAGAGGTGTTCCAATCAGGGCAGTCCCATCACACCGTGGTCTCTGTTTTTTTAACACCTCGACTTCGAAGGTGCTGCTGGATCAGCCTCTTCTCTCTTACATACCTGAGAGAGACACAAGGCATTTAAATAACCTCTGCAAACTTTCAGCCCAAATTCCAACATGTCAATGGTCACACGTGTGTCCATTCCCAGCTTTTGTGTCCGTGCCCAGCGTTCCCAATGCAGGCAAGCTTATTATTTTCTAAATGTTTCCTGGACACTTTGGTTCAGCATGATTGAATCATCCAGTAACAGATCTATGGCTACTGTAGCCTCTTAGTGCTCTTGAGCTCAGAGGCTCACAAATATGGGAGCTCCTCTGGCTTGTACCTGTGGGGCATTTTGAGCCACTGCCAGGGGGATTCCTGTCACTCAACTCAAGTTTTAAGGGGACATCTGGCACTGATGTGGCCTAAATGCTACAGAACCGAAACAGTACCATGTGTGGTACTGATAGTAAAAAGGTTTTAAAATCATGGGGATTTAGGGTTAAAGGAAAAGTAAGCTTAGTAGGCCCTGGAAAAATAAACACACTAAGCACATGAAGAAGTTGTACTTGCTAGAACTGCACCTGTGTAGCTAGTACATGATAAATGATATAATTGTTAGATGTGATGATTGTTTAGTAATTAAATATAATTACTGTTTAATTGTAAGAATAATCATGAGAAACTGTGGTCAGGGACCTAAGAAAGATCATGAGAAACTCATGTCAATGTATACAATAGAACAATATAAGTTTAATAATTAATATGTAAGTTATATAACGATAGAATATAAAATACATTCAGCTCAAAGTCGTGTCGGAGTCAGATTTGGGTCTGTACCCCTGATTCCCAGAGCTCTCAATAAAAGCACCTGCAGATAATGATATCCTGTGATTATGTGTGTTCCTGAACGCTGACAGTACTGCATTTACCCTTTCCAAGGAAATAGCAGCAAGTCCAAACCAAGCCAGTCAAAGGCTTGGAGAGCAAACAGCAAACAAAATAAAGAGGAGTTACCCCGAGGGTCCAGATTTTCTGAAGACCCCGCTCTGTATGTAGTCAGTATTAATTATGGACTCTTTAAGAGCAACAGGACAGGGAAAGGATTATAAGCCCTCCCAATGCCTTCAGCCTTCCCATCACAGTGTTCTACTCTGCTACATCTCCACGTTCTCCTTATGAGCCAGGCCACCACTGTACAGATTGCCCTGGACTCTTTGACGCCTCACTTTGTGTCTGTTTACCTTGCAGTTGTCTGTTGAATCTCCTGCTCCTCCTCTTCATTTATTCTGTGCAGAATGGATTCCAAAAAGGGAAGATGAAATGAAATGTACTGAGCAACCTAATAAGGAGAAGACAAGAAAGGCACTACTACTAACTGTGGTCATTGAGAAAAACTCCATGAACTATGAGAAGTGAGGATATACGTACATCACTGCTGATCTCTTCCACGTCTCCATCCATGAGAAAGAACTTGGCAACCTTCTCAGAGGGCCCCTGCAGCAGCCTGTGCAGCAAGGGAACATCTCTACTCCTCAACTGCTTCTTTTCTGGGATTTATAAGCAGTGTTATAAAACATGTAACATGCCACAGGGGCTCCATCTGCCACCCACAGTCATGAGCATTTTTTCCTGACAGAGATCCCATAATGATTCAAGTGCAATTACCAGATACCTAACCGGTCCAAAATATTGTGCTATTTAAAATACCTTCTTCCCCAGTTCCCTCCTATTCTCTCAGGTGTTCCCATTAAATAATAATTATCAAATCTCCCTTTTCCAGGAAAAGTAAGAGAAAGCTGCTGTGAAAGTAAACTTTTCCCACTGAAGAGTGAGTACTTGGAACCCAGCATATGCAATCCCAAGCTGTCAGCAGAAAGGGCCCACAATACAATGATTCCTCTCCAGAGGAGACATTTCTGAAGGGTCCCCGAGAAGGAAAAATGCCACACCACATGCACAGTGCACAAACAAGGACAGAGGCCTGGCACAAATCCTGCTACTCCAAGGGACACATTCCACACACACACAGAGAATGATTAGAGCTGAAGTGCTCAGGCAGCAGGGGCTGGCTTACCTCCAGACGCATGGATAACGTAAAGTGCAAACTCATGGGGGCTGTTTTCTATCTGTGGGGAAAAAAAAAAAAGCAAATCCATTCAGGCTCACAGATCTTCCTAGCACCTCCCTCTCAGCACATTTTCGCTGTATGTCTCAGCTCAGAGATTTGGATCAGTCTGAGACAGGGATCCTGTCTGTAGAAGAGTTAGGAGACACTGGATCTAGATAAGACAGAAGGCTGTGTTGCCATGTTCACTGTGCCAGGCCTAACCCTTGCGTTCCCATGCTGCCCAAATCAGTAACACACTGGAAACCCAGATCTTTCCTGCCTGCTTTCCTCGCAGCATCCTTAACTACTTCCTACAGCTTACTTCTCTCAGATCACACATAGATCTGCTATTTGTGTTGCCATCAAGGTAAACCTCTGTGACCTGACAACCACACTCAGAAAACAGCAGAGCTGTTGAACACTTACTTTGCAATTTATTCCCTACAACTTTACACTCTGCTCTGTAATTCCCTCCCTTATTACTCCTACAAGTGAAGTTTTCCTTCCAAGACACTCACAAGTCTTACTAACCACACAAAGTAATTCTGCAACAGCGAGGTCTCTAGACAAGTTAAATGGGAAGTTTAAGACCATTAAAGCATAAATTAAACACTAAGCAGCCATGCAAAATCAAAATATTTGAAAAATGTGCAGCAGTAAGGGCAAAGCCACTTCTTGTCAGAATCTGAGGTATTGATGATTCCGAGATTGTAGAAAGTCTCTGTCTTTCAGCCCCGCTGCCAAAGAAGAAGCCATAATTCGTCTGTGCTGTTTCCAGGTTGTTTATTCTGTTTATCTCTAACATGTTCTGCTGCCCTGCCGCAGCTCTGTCCTGCAGGGCAGCGTGTGGGGCTCTGCCCTCAGTGGGATGTTACAAACATTAAATACCACAAACTACCTGTGCTGGATTTACAGTAACGTGCCAATATCTGTCACCTACGTTGAACAGTGTGTCCCCAGCCTAAACCAACAGAAAAATGCCAACACCACAGTGAAACATGGAGGGCATGAAGAAGGAGAAAACGGAAAAGACACACCCAATTTCCTCCATCTTGTCCCCTTTGGACCCCTAATCTAGAATCCTAAAATTATAGTTTTGCACCCCTGCCACACTTAATCATTACTTATATCAAACACTCAGAGCTTGTAATTCATCCTGTAAGATTGAAAACTCTTTTCCATGGACAGAGATCACAGCCAGTGTCTCTGGGGGCTCTGTACAGGGGGGTTCCTGACCCGCTGCCACGGTCCCAGGCCTTCCATGGCAGCCAGAGGGAAGCCCTGGATTCCCACAACTTCTGACCACATACAATGCTGTTGGTGGGAGAGGGCTGCAAGGCAACTCCAAGGGGAAAAAAAATAAAAAAAAGTAGCTTCAGACAGCACAGCACTGACGCTGAGCAGTGCTTTTAGCTCTAACCCTGCACATCTTTCCATACACCTGGCACTAGGAGCAAGCCCATCCCAGACGGACGCGGGTGATCACCGCTGTTGTTTAGCGGCGGCGTTCGCCCCGCGGAGCAGGAGGTGACAGAAGTGCCTCTGCACTTCTCTGTTCCGGCCTCTGAGAGACATGAAACACTGGTTAAATAAACCCAACCCATGTATTTAAAATTGTCCATGTGGGGTTTTTTTTTACACTCTGGCCCAAGCACTATCCTCGCGCAGTTATTCCCCATCTTTCGCGCAGTGCTGGAGTGCACATCGGAATGAGCGTTTCCAGAACGCCACCACACTTCCTCCTGCCAGCAGACTTACCTTAAACTTACGAAGCAACTGTTCTATCACTTGTCTGGTCCTCATCTGGCTGTTGATTCTTATTTTGGTTTCTGACCCAAAAGCTGGAGTGAAAACTGATGTCTGGGAACAAGAACAGCCACACCACGACATGAGCATGAGGCACAACTCTCTGGACAGGGTGCCCTGTCCCTCAGGTGACAAAGCCAAGCCTAAAATTTCCTACCTCGTGGTTGTAGAAGTGGCCATTGATAGAGAACCTGTGAGTTTCTACTTCTGTCCTGGTGATTGTGGGGAGCTTGGTCCTCCTGCGCACGACCGTGGCATCGCTGCTGGTCCGGGGCAGGGTGGCACAGTTCAGCTCCGGCTCCCTCCTGGACTGAAGAGTGTGACTTTCATAGCATGGATAACCTGGACACAACAGAACCACACGTCATGTGCAGCTGCTTGCCCTTGTCAGCACCCCCAGAGGAAGGAGGCTCTCAGTGAAGGGCTTCATTTACTATATATTATTTTCTGGGGGAGTGGAGCAGGAAAGGAACAAGGCAATCAGAACAGGCTGATTGCAGTGGTTGCAGTTTGATGTTTTGGTCCCTTGGGAATGATTTCTTGGATAAAAGCACAGCTCATTCCCACAAGGTGCTCACCGAGTCACCTTCACAGCCCTAACCAGCCCTGTGCCAGAGTTTCCCCAGCTTGCACTACTTGTTACACAGAGCAAAGAGATTTCCCTGTACTGGTAGGGAAAGCCTGATGAGTGAGATGCATTTTGCACTGTCACAGAACACAGAATTTTTTGTTAACCTGAGAGCACAGACACTAACTTGGCTGGAGATCTGGCTGTTCCTCAGTAGATTTCAGTGTATCCCCGCTAATGTGATGGAGGTCATCAAATTCTCCCCAGCGAGTCATTCCCCTGAAAGACCAAACGTGTAGTTATCATTGACTGCTCCTCGTTCACTCAGTGATTTCAGTTTATCCTGTGGCCAGGGTTCATGCCATACATTCCTGTTCCTGCTCAACCTACAGACTTCAGCATGGTAATTTTAGTTTAAGTCATAACAAGATCAGGTATTACAATATGGTATGACCAGGGATCCCAAATGTAACTCATCCAATTTAAAGCCTTTCGAACATCAACCAGGACACAACTTAAACAACTTGCAGTAATTCCTGATCTGTTTTACAGCAACACCCTGGATTAATCACACTCAAGACTACCAGGCAGGCACACCAAGCACACATATTGTTGCTGAGTAGTTACAGAACACAGGTCTGTTACAGAGGTTAAATTACACACAGCCCCTTGTGCTGTCCAAACTGGCTGTGTATGAGAGCAGGAAGTTCCATCCAACCTTTCAGAAAACCTGTATTCATGTCAATATTTCCATAAATCATTGCCCAAACTCTTCAGCATGAGGTCTTCAGCCAGTTACCGCTCTGAGAATAAACCAATTTGTAGTGCAATATTAAAAATTAATTTCATATGTATATATATATATATGTATTCTCAGTAATATTCAGCTACCCCCAATTTACATTTACAAACAAGATCTCGGTTGTATTCTACACATTTACCAAGTTCATTTAAGATCAGACAGCCAAGCTGCTCTGCATACCTTAAAGCATGTCAGGGCAGCCCCACGTTTCTGGGATCATGAGTGAATGTTTACTTTAGTATACAAGTTTCCACCAGTCAGAAGTATTTTAAAAACTGCCCTGCAGCCCATGTGCACCCCACACCACCTGACCTGGTCAAGATAAACAGAAAGCCAAATCTGCCTAAAACTCAGGTTCTTTCCTAGTTGCTCCTGTCCAAATTCATCCCTGAATTTCAACAGCCAGAGATGGGGAAGAAGACTTTACTGGAATTAAATCCCCAGTGCAGTTCCAACATGTCCCACATACAACCTAAGACAGTAAGTCATTAGAAAAATAAGCTCTGCAATACACAATTTATCAGGGAGTCATTCAGGGTGAACATTGGCTCTACCTCTATATTGCAAGATTAAGATTCAGCTCATCAAATTCACCAGTCAAGGCTGGGGAAACAGCATTTAGAACAAAGAAAAAGTACACTGAGTACCTGCATCAGCTGAGCACAGCACACTGGGATATACACTGGAACAGCTGCTCTGTGGGCATTTTAAGAGGTTTTTACGCCAAATTTTGCACAGACAAAGACAGTATTCTTCCCTGACTTGAACTTCACCTGGGCAGCAATGGTTCCAGACCTCACATACCTGGGAATGTAAGCTGGGACAGACAATACCTACCAGATTTTGGCTTCATGCCATGGTGTGTGCACCAACACCAGGCCTTTCAGGGGCTGCCAGTATCGGGTGTACATAGAAACACAGGTGCTACAAGCACACACCCTCCTGCCCAGAGGAAGCTGTTGAAAGGCTCTGCTGTCCAGCAACCACCACAACTTTTGGGGAAGCTGGGACATCCAGCACAGCCAGCCATATCCATTGAAGCCACAACACGAGCTATCTTGCAGTGCTAGCCTCCCTAGGGAAGTTCATACATTACCTTTTACTAGGGAAAACCCCCACATTCTCTGTTGACTTCAGGGTTACAAAAGAGGGTATCTGCTTCTCATCCTGAATTTTTAATCGGATCGGATGGCGCACTCCCCAGAATATCGAGAGGATTCCTTCAATGAATGGCGTGCTTCCTTCTCGCTGGAGAAAAACAGGGAAATAGTGCTGCATAATAATAATAATAATATATAGTGCTGCTACTAATAATATATCTCCTCTCAAGGTAACAGGAATACAATGAAATCGCCGAGGCTGACACAGCCCTGGAACAGATTACTTGGAAGAACATGTAACCTCAGTTTTGAGCAATTTCCAGAACAGCCAAAGCTGCAGGCTGACCTGATCAGTTCAGGAAACCAGTTCTGGTTTATTATATTAGATGGGACATGTAGTGCAATAACAACACCACAGCAAGTGGAGCTGGAGTCCAGTGCTGTGAGGAGAAGAGAGCACTAATTTGTCATGTCCAGATTAGTGGAGTTTCTCACCCCTAAATCCTTACCTGATTATAAGTCAGTTGCAGATTCTCTTGATCTGAATAGTAAGAGTTATAGTTCTTCAGAAGAGAACTGAGCTGCTCTCTAGAATAAAGATCACAATGAAAAACAAATTTTTAACATCTCTGTAAAATGCAGGTGGTGTGTGGCAGGGTAACACCCCATAACTGTGCTACCCACTGCATCCTTGTATAGGTTTATTAATGATCCATACATCATTTTCTGAGAGTAAAGTTTTGTCAAGTTACTGGGTTGCTCATAAGCTGCTTCTTTAAAGACCCAGAGGAAATTTAATTAGTCAGTCTCACATGACCTTAATAGCACTGCCCCAGCATAGGTCGCACTTTGTACCTCCGTAGCAGTCACGAGGAAGAAGCAAACAGAACAACATCCCCATGCACCTACCAATGCTGCAGGTTACTTTAACTAGGCTACACCTGGCTTTTCCTGCATGATGGCTTCCATTCAGCTTTCATACTGCTTCAGATACATTTTCTATCTTCAAACACCTACAGGATGTCTAACATTTCTATTTCCCTCTGCCTGAAATGAAACAGCTTTGCACCACATCTTTGCTGAAAGGAGAAAGGAAGGTGATGAAGAGAACCTCTGCCAACAAGCAAGGAGCCATGGAGACAAAGCCAGCTGCAGCTCAGGCTATGGAGGGCTGAACAGTGACAGAATTAATTGAAATGAATTTCAAGGCCATCGAGAATGAAACACTCTTCCCCACACCATTTAAAGATGATTCAGACTGTAATTCAGGGAACAACTGCATGGAAGTGTACAAATTCTTCCTTGTGGACTAACAGTTACAATGGTTTCATGTCCAGCTTCACAGTCATGTGTGAGGATACCGAGTTTGTTTCCAAACAGTGCCTATTATTTCCACACTCGTGGGAGCTGTTGGAACAGTGTGGGAATCCAAGGCTTCCCTCTGGATGCCCTGGGACCCTGGCAGGGGTCAGGAACCCCCCTGGACAGAGCCCCCAGAGACACTGTCTGTGATCTCTGTCCATGGAAAAGAGTTTTCAATCTTACAGGATGAATTACCAGCTTTGAGTGTTTGATATAAGTAATAATTAAGTGTGGCACGGGTGCAAAAGTATAATTTTAGGATTCTAGATGAGGGGTTCAGAGGGGACGAGATGGAGGAGATTGGGTGTGTCTTGTCCTTTTTCTCCTTCTTCATGCCCTCCATGTTTCACTGTAGTGTTGGCATTTTTCTGTTGGTTCAGGCTGGGGACACACTGTCCAACGTAGGTGGCAGATAGTGGCACATTATTGTAAATCCAGCACAGGTAGTTTCTGGTATTTAATGTTTGTAACATCCCACTGAGGGCAGAGCCCCACACGCTGCCCTGCAGGACAGAGCTGCGGCAGGGCAGCAGAACATGTTAGAGATAAACAGAATAAACAACCTTGAAACAGCACAGACGAATTATGGCTTCTTCTTTGGCAACGGGGTAGAAGGACAGAGACTTTCTACAATCTCAGAATCATCAGTACCCACAGATTCTGACAGAACAGCAGGCCCACAGATCGAGCACACAGCACCTGCAAACTGTGCAGCACACGTTCCTCAGAGAGCTGCTGAAAATATTCAGAACTCATGTACCATCAGAAACACGATTACAACTCCTCCATCAGTTTTAAATAAAGAAGTGCCCCAGAGAACTGACAGCCCAGCGTGGGGACAGGCTCCAGGAACATGGCTTTTCCCCTGGGCCCAGGTGTCCACACACTAGACAGGAACCAGGGACAGCCAGGAGGGCACGTAACACGCCCAGGCTGTGCTTGGGGCAGAGGGCCGTGCAGAGCATGAACATGGAAAGCTTTCCCTGGCATACCTATCCCTCCCTCTCCACTTAAGAAACAGGACAGTGTCCTGTTGCTTTAGAGAGCCTTTTCCCATGGTGAGAAGGGAGAAGATCAACTGGGCTTTTACAACTAGGAGGTAACATGAGGACAGGGGCTGCAGCATTAAACTCAAGGTTCATTGCATTCCCTGCTAATTCTGTGAATGTAAATTATTTACTTTACAATCATGCAATCCCACACACAAAATATATTTTTAACTAGCTTTATCAACTGGATTCTAAACAATGATTTTCAACATCTACTTCAACTTACTTTGGTATTAAATCCTCAGAATTTGGCAAAAGCACTAGGTTGAAATAGCTCTTTGTGTTTCATGAGCTGTGAGGGACTGCATTCAGGTCATCCCACCAAAAGGGAATGCAAATAGATTTGGATATGAATCAGGTGCAAGCCCAGTTCTGATCATGCTGGCTACAGGCAAGCAAGATGAAGCACGCCTTGGCCCCACACACAGGCAAGCTCCAGATGCAACTCGGGATTACCAGACAAGTAGGAGACAGGCAGTTCTGTCTGACAGATGTTGTGACAGACCTGCTGATCCTGCTCAAGTCTCTGTACTTCACAGAATTCGGCAATCATTGTATTGACAGCTGCTATCTGACAAGTTTTTTTCCAAGTAGGAAGTTGGGAAGGTGAGCTCCCTGAAGATGGATTAGAGATACAAAAGGAAGTGGGTCACACTCTGAGGCCCACCTATTACTCTTAATCCACATTGACTGCAAAGGCAAATAAAATCATAGACTAACAGCAGTAAGTTGTCTGGTAAGGGTCATCTCTGAAGCAGATTCTGTTTCTCAGAGCAAGCTCTCAAGATTTCCACACAGTTTCTTGCCTTGTCTAGGAAAACTTGCCATTACCTTCCTCAGAAGTTTGCATAAGTAAACCTTCAAGGTTTCAGCCTTGCATTAGTGCAACCAACAGTGACAAACCACACAAGCAATTAGAAAAGCCCAGAGGGAGAGATTAACAGCAGCTCACTCTGACTTGTTTGTCCTTGTGTAGTAGAAACATAAGAGAAAAAAACCATTTTCCTTCCTTCAGCCCCAGAAGGGAATATGTGCACCAGCCTAGTTCCGGGAGTAGTCTTACTGTAACACATCTTCCTGCTGCCCTAACCTAGAGACAGATACCATCTCTGCTGAGTTTGGCATCTGGAATATCAGCAGCTGTTGTGACAACAGCCAAACACAGCCATTAACAGAAACCAAAGCCGAGTAATTGGCAGAACAACTCGCCCCAAAAACATAACATGAACTGCAGATTCACCACTTTGTTCAGTAGCAAAAGCAGGATACAAAGGAGCTGCAAGATCAGGTGCCCCAGTGGTAAACCACAACAGAGCTCAGGCTGTTCTCTGGAAGCACTAAGCCAGGACAGCTCACCTGTGCTCTCTCCTGCCCAAGCCCTACACTCAATTTATATGAATATTTATGGCAGTTATGCTGGAGACGCAGCAGTTCAGCCAGCCAAATCATCTCACAACCTTTGGTCAGCCTTTTGATCCAGCCATTGTGCAATTCCCAAACAGCAAGCTTGCCCCATCAGCAAGATTGCAGGATAGAACTGGAAGAGAAGTAGTGTAACAGCAGATTCAATGTACAGATGAAGGATCACAGTCTGGAAATTGCATTGGAAGCAAGCCTGAGTGCATATGGAATGTCAGTGGTTCTTGAAACACTCATTTCCCTTGATGCAAGGTGAAGAAAGTTTAAACCATGGCTGCCATGCAGAAAGGTCTCAACTGGGATGCACATTTCACAGGCAAGTACATAGAGGAATAAAGCCCCAGAGACACTGGCTCACCTGGTACATTTCCAAATGCTCTTGCATGCCAAGTTCACACACATTAATTACCTCTGACACAAAAGCACTGCATCCCAAAGTAGCAGCAGTATAAAGGAAAAAACTCTTGAAGAGAAAGGGAGTGATGCATCTGCTGCCTGCAGGTGGCTCAGAGTTTGGGCAGCAGTAAGAAAAATTCCTCCCAGGGAGACTGAACTGTGGAAAAGCATCCCAAAAATGACAGATTCCAATCTTTTTCTAGAAGTAGGTGAAAGAGACACTTCCTCTGACCACAGCAGAGAGCCAGCAGCCCAAAAGTCTTTCTACACAGATACCCTGCAATCCGGGGCTGCCAAACCCCCAGCTGCAGACAAGCTGAGCTCAACTCTGGAACTTATGGTCAATTCCAACAGAATTCCAGGACAGAAAGGTCTTCTTCCCTAACCTGTAATTTTATTTCAGAATCCTCTAGAAGGGCTGTCCTCCTTAAGGAACAAAACCCACAGACCCAAAGGCTTAATGCTCTGTTCTCTTAATTCCATGTCAAGGCCGACTCTGTTCTGTAGACAGGTTAAACTAATTTAAGTGGTAGGGATTGCTGTGGCTACAGGATCAGCTGTCTACAGAATCCCCTGTCAAGGAATAAAGGTGGAATAGCTTGAAAGAAAGCAGCAAACTCATTAATTAGTCAGGGTTTTAATAATTTACCTGGTCACGAACTTCTCTTCATTGATGAAAACAGAAGGCAGATGCTGTGCCTTCATAGTCACTGTCTTCATTTACTCAGAAGAGATGAATCTAAGCAAAAGGTGAAAAAAAAGTAAATACATCCACTACTGCTACTACAAAAGATGGAATAGTAATCAAGCACAAAGCTTAGGTTTTGTAAGTGACACAGGCTGGGACACTCAAGCTGAGGGCTCATTAGACCATATTTTGACTGCTTCATATTTTGCCTTAATACCCAAGTATTTCCCACTCCTAATAAAACAAGCCATAAGCCATTCCTGTCAAGTGTATAACAGTACCTTAAATCCCAAGCACTACATCTACCAGGACTTTCTCAAGCAGTTTTGGGACTACTTCAGCTCCAGGATTATGCTGGAGTTGTCAGCAGTCTGAGACAGCAGCCCAGGCACTGGCCAGGATCCATGCGTCCACTATGGACACAGGGTTAGCAAAACACACTATGACTCTGCCAACCCCCTTCATCCAGATTCCTAAAACTAGGCAAGGGAAGGAGTGGTGATGGTTAGCACTGTCCTGCAGCACTCCCAGAAAGCAAGTGGAATAGCAAAGAGAGAACAAGTTGGTAATTTCAGGGAGGTAGCAATACAATTTACAGATCTCCACGTTGGGATCCAAGTCTATTATGCAGGCAAAGAGCCAGAGCCATGAGACTTCAACAATGCATTCCTCAATAAACTTAATTATGGAGTCTAGGCTCTTTCCTTCACCCCCAGGTACTAGAATAAAAGCAAGACTGAGGAGTTAACTGAACAAGTGGCATCACACATGGCTGGGGAAAAAACCTCAAAGAATCCCATGAAAAGCAGTAACATCTCAAAAGACTGCACTAGAAGTTGATAACTCCACTTCCATTTCTCTTATTTGGGCATGGTGACAGAGGAATTTGGCTGACAGCACCCAATGTGCATTGTCCCTTATGCCAGGGGATTGACTTGAATCCGATTTCAGACTGCATTGGACAGAGCTTGGTCAAAGATATCTGCAAAGTAGTTGATTGTCTATAGTCCCCATGACAAGCAGCCTTCCAAAAAACCGATTTAGGGAACATTCAAACTTGAACAGATCATGGCTGGGCAAAGAGTAAACACCTCATTTCTGTGTACTGCACTACTGAGCTGCTTTTTTAGATGTCACCAATTTTCCATAATCACAGATAAATAGCTTCTAAAAAACAACTTATGTGGACAAATGAGAAGTTTTGCATATAAAAACCATGATCTTCACCCTACAAAATATAAAGGAAGTTATTTAATAACCCCTAAAACCAGAGTGCCCTACCAAAATGAACTTTACCCGAGCAGCTGGTGTTTCTAGCAGTGCTCTATCAGGAGCTCACTGAAAAGAGCAGCACTCCCTTTGTCCTTTGGGTGACCTCCATCAAGACAAAAACATACCTGCAAGCCAAAAAAGCCCAGGGACTTCTGTACAGACACGAGTCTGTGTGTGAGGAATACACTGCTGTATACCACTGCTTGGGTTTTCCCTCTGAAATGACTTGAGTCACCACTGGCCACACCTTGAAATCTGATTTTATGTGATTTACTTAAGACCTCTAAGTGAAGCAGCTGCCTGTGTCAGTGCGATTTCAAGCCATTTTCACAAGATGCAGAGGAGTTTATGTACTTTGGCACCTGAATAAATGAATGTACACTTGGGCTTCCTCGCACCTGTCAGGAAACAACATGTTAAGAGCAGTGGATAGCCAAGCCACCTCCACCAACTGTAGATAAGCCACACCAGCAAGCTCCAGCACCGTTTCACTGCTTGTGGGTGCACTCTTTTCTACACTATTTGGCCTTAAAATGATTCATCTGAAAGAAAAAGCTGATCTCTGCTCATGGAGAGAAGTGACCTTTACACACACACAAAAGAGATGAACACTGGCTCCTAGTAAATTATTTGTCTTAAACACCTTGTACGGATTTTAAATCAGCTGGGTGCCATTAAAGTGCTGAAAATAAAGTGAACTGGAAGAGTGGGTGGTGATGGGGATAATTCTTCACCAACACCTTTCTCTTTCTCTCCATCATGGCTGCAACATTCAGGAAAAAGCCTTCTCTCCTGTGGCTGGGGGAGAAGCACAGCTCTCACTACGTTCTCCTCAGTTATGTGATCTGCTGTGCTTATCAGCCTTGTACCAAACACTTCCACACCAGCAGCTCACTCCAGAGATGAACCTCTTCTCCCTGGACCCTTCCCATGGGCACACTGTAGATTATTTTTAGCCAAGACCTAAACCTGTGTGTTGCCACCATGCAGTGACTTCCCCAATACCAGTACCTGACACAACAGATGCCAGGATGTTTGCACTGGCGCTCCCTAAATCCACAAAGCTGTTAGATTTCCCATCACCTCCTGCTGTCTTGCTGCTTTCCATGCCACTTCCCTGTAGTCCTTTTGAGGAAGCAAGCAGAAGTGAAATGCCTTCTCCACTGCTCCCTTTGATTTGAACTAACCAAACCATGCTAATTTTCCAGCCACTCCAACCATATCTGCCTGTGTCATTTATTCAAAGCCATCTCCTGATTTACTTGGTATCACACAGGTGTCTTGGCCATTATGTTAAACTGGACTAGAAGGGCAGAATTTCCTCAGATAGGTTACACCTGGAAAGTGGGATCTTGGCTGGACTAAAATGCTGGCCTGAGACTAAGCCAAGGAGAAACCTAATGCTTGGAGGAATACTGACAGAAGCCTGAAATACATCATGAGGGAAAGCAAAGGGAAAGTCAGGAGGAAATGAAAACTGGGGGAGCTGCAAACTGAGCATTTCTAGAGGAGGATTGCAACTATTGGAGGAGTCTAGGAAAAGCAAAGGGAAAACAGACCAGTGCACATTTCAAAACCGCAAGAGCATCAACACGTCAGGGCACATGACAAATTTCACAAAGGTAATGAGCTGTACTTGTCTGTAAGATTCATATCTTACCTGAAATGTGGGGGTTTTTTTCCCAAAGAAAAAGTCCAAGAGTCCGTGCAGAAGCAGGTAAGAGGACTTGCTCCTTTTATTCAGTACAGTGATATTTAAGTCACTTACTTAAGGGGACAGACCAGGGACAGTAGAGTGCAGGAATGACAAAGCAGAAGTTAAGAGCAAATGGCTAAACCGATTTTTAGAGAAGGACAGGCAGCTGCAGAGGAGGGCTGGAAGGAGAGGGACACCTGGGATCCAGAACTGAGCCAAGCAGGAGCAGCAAGGCAGCACCTCAGCTCCTGGAACAGCCTGGATGTGCTTTCTGGTGCATCCATCTATTGAGACAGGGCCCGCAGAGTGCAGTGCGCTACACAGAGCTCCTGCCAGTGCTAGAGAAACCAAAACCCCAAACCTCAGCAGAGACCCCGAGGTATTTTAACCCAGCACTCCCCAAAGCTCTTCCAAACTCACAAAAAGTCAGGATAGGGCAAAACTCTTCCATTTCTTTTACAGAAAGCACAAGGCTCAGCTGCCTGTTAACTCAGCTATCAACTACACACACAGAGTATTTTATACGTAGGCACAACACCATGTCCAGCTGAGTCATCTTCTGAACTCACAAGTGCCTGGTATTCAGCAAATTTTTCGATCCTGATTGGTTTCTATAAAGATGAATTTAAGATTTGTTCAGATAGATAAACTCAGTTTTAGCAGAATAATTTTACTAGTCACATACTCTAATTATGGGACTTTACGTTCCCCTTTTTTGTAATTTTCGTTTAAGTTAGATGTCCCTACCACCAGAAAAAAAGGTGGTAATTAAAACAAAGCACTTACTTTGAACAACTGTGTTTTCCCCACGAAAAAAAAAAAGGGCTTTGTTTTTTTCTTGAGCTTTCAGATTTCTTCACAACTTAATACAGAGCATTAAGAGCACTCCTTGAGTACAAATCTCAGCACAAGCCCTCTGCTTAGGCAGGCTCGGAACGGGATTGGAAGAAAACAGCGGTAAATTGGATTATGCGAATATGGCCCCTTAAGTTTCCCAGGGCAAGGCAGGAGGAGCAGACACGCTCTCTCCCCTCGGGCTCGCACACATCCCTTCCAAACCCATTTTAGGAGAAGTCACTTTCTGCTCGCAGCCGAGCGGCACAAGCCCTTTCCAGCCGCCGAAAGGATCGCACAAGGTCGCGGATGTCCCCCCGAAGGAAGCGGCGCTACCTGTGCCCCGCCCCGTGCCGGCTCTCACCAAGCCCTCAGGAACTTCTGGCGAGCATTTCTCCTTCCCCGCCGAGGGAATGACCCCAGGGAGTGCTCCTGGAGTTCGGGGTGCAGCTCACCCAGCTCCAGCCGTCCTTGGCACTCACCTGGCCGGGATATGCGAGCAGGAGAAGCGCGGCAGGAGTGTCACACGCCTTCCCCCGAGTCCCCAAAAAGGCATGGCAGCACGGCCAGGGCGCACCGCCACCTCTGCTGCTGCTGCTCATTCCGACTTGGCTTAACAAACTGGGAACGCTGGAAGCCCGGGACACTCCCCGCACCTCGGTGCACGTCGGGAATATTTACCTATACCACCACTTTCCTTTCTCCAAGCGCTGACAGGAGCCCGCCCTTAGCCACGGTTCCACCTCCAGGAGGCTCCGGTTAACGCTTTAATCACTCACTGAGCAAGGGAGGCAACCTGCCGACTACCTGGAATCATCACCTGGAAGCACTTTAACCTCTTCTGCTTCCTAATCCATTGGATAAAGTGTTAGAAATGAAAATTTGTCCAGCCAAATCAAAATGAAAAATATAAAATATTTATTTTGCAATCGAATTCTATCTAGCCAGCCACAAGGAAAGAACAGAGCCGAGCCCGGGGTCAGCCCTGGGTGTGCAACAAGGAGTCAGCCTCAGCAGAGGTTCCCTCTATGCCCACACACCTCCATCCTGGCACAAGAGGTTTTTATAGGAAAAATTCCACCCAAGGCCAAGATTTCAGCAGTCTTTTCTTCCATTCAGAGTCCATATGTTAATAAGATTTTTTTTTTTTTGGTGATGAGGGAGAACAATTCAGTGTCCAGAGTTTGTTGAATCCCTTAATGAAACGCTGTATTCACATGTATCTGCCCAAGTATTTCCATGATATCCATCTCGGGTCATTCACGAGAATGATCAGCACCTGGGGTTTCTGTATCTCCCCAGCCATGGCCCATCTCCTGGCCAGCTGTACCTTCTTACTTGTAAATCAGTTTCTAATATACATCTGGTCTCACCTGTGAGGGTAGGAGGGGGAATCCTAATACAAACGTGTATACTCTAACAAATATTCAATATCATAAATATCATATTAGACATGGCACAAATTATATCTACTAAACATAACATAAAGTATGCTTTCCCTCAGATACATGCCCATCTTCAGTGTTTGGGGGAATAAGTGGCACAATCCATCAAATCATTACACAGATTTAGAACATTATGACAAATTGTGGCAGCACAGCTTGATCCCTTAACCCCACACAGTTATTTTTGCTGACCTGTGTAATGCCCTTATGAATATTACTGGGCAAGAGCTGCATCTGTAAGAAGGAAAGCATGGCCTCTTACTTTAATTGCTCAGCAGTAAATTGCATAAGCAGATGCTTAAGCTAGAAAAAAGAACTGAACCAGGACACACCTTCACCATTCCTACGTTTGCCCGTCTGTTTCCAGCAAATAATTTATTCACCAGATCAATCCCAAAACAAGAAGTTATTGGGCCACAGAGAAGCGCAGGAAAAATGCCAAACCTGAATTTGCCTTCAGACCCATCTTATTCCACTGATTCATATCAAGTTAATTTTGCTTTATATAATTTGATGTTAGGGAGAGGCAGTACAGACTCAAATACTCAAATGTTTATAACCACGTTTTGAAAACCCAGTGTTTAAAGTACTTAGATTCATGCAAAGATGTCTCAGTAAGAAATTATTACCATAAAGCAAAGGAATTTCTAATTGTAATAAAAAACTACAGTTCCCGTTTTCATAAAACCAGATGTGTTGGTCCTTACCTTGGCCTGGGCAACGTGGCTCTGGTTTGTTTCTAGTTCTCTCTCTCACCCTTGAACTCTTCCTACCAATGGGCAAGTTTTGACCTCATCTGAGTCACAGAAAATTACCTGCTGAGTAATTGGGAAGGACTGGTCAGTGCAGGCTGGGAACAGGTATGGGGAGGGGAATCAGGTCCTCAGGGCCACAGAGCAAAAACTACTTTACTGACAACTCCAAGAAACAGAAGGCTTTGATCCCTTTCATAGAAATTAAATAATCAATGCACAGAGACAATTATTTTTTTGTCTTTCATAATCAGCATAGTTTGCATGGCCTGGGAATTTATGAACAAGTCACAACTTGGTAATACTGTTTTACCTCTTGAGTGAAAGGGTAACAATAATTTCTTTAGAACAGGCAGGAAATGTGATGATCCTGGAGTCTTTACAGGTTACATTTGTAACATTGTTACATTTCTGCTCCTTGCATGATTAATAACTAGGTAATTTTAGGTTAATAAGTAATTGGAAATTTGAGTTAAGCTACTTCATGACTTGGCCTCAAACCATTAACAAACACACTGCTAAAGATAGGAGAGAACCTCTAACAGGAAAAACAGAGATTCCTGTTCTATTTTTGTAGTAGACAATCAAAATAAGCAGGCTGCCATGGCAGCATCACACACATGTGCTGCACTTCAGTGGAAGGACTTTGATAAACACAAAATATTCCTTTGTTTCACAGTAAGAAGGAAAATCCCTAATCCTGTTTGCAAACACTTATTTCTAGACAACCCATTAACTTCAAGCACAGAAAATTCTTCCGGGATTTTCTGAGCCAGCTACTCTAATGCAAAAGGAGAGCCTCATCTGAAAAGACCTGAATTTAACCAAAAAAACAAAAGCATGTGATCAATTCTTCCATTCTCATTACAAATGCTACCAGAGTGGTGGCACGATCATAGGAACAAATCAAGAAATTAAAACCTGAATTTAGGCTGCAGAGGGCCTCCCACTCCTTAGCAAGATTATTTTCTGTCATCACAACCAAGTGCCAACAGCAGTACATGTTCTGGAGCCACAACTGATAAGCACAGAAACTAGAAACTGGGTAACAGATACTAGCTCAGATATTAAAATACATCAGAAAAATGAAACACACACAAAGGCTTATGCACTGTCATTGGCCAGAACCCTTCCCACACACCATTTGGTGAATCTGAGGGCCATGAGGTTTTAAGGAATAGAAAAGAAGCAGAGCCAAAGTTGGCAGCAGCACATGTACTAAAGTCTATGGTTTTAAATATCACATCAAGAACTGGAACTTAGCAAACTCTGACCTTTGCCTGAGTGGAAAGCAGCTTGCAGGTCTCTGGATGGGCAGGTCTGACTTAAGCATCTGAAACACCTTTAGTCATGCCTCGTGGCAGTCATTGCCTGTGCACACCCATGAAGTCATCCATTTAATATTACAGGACTTCACAGAGGTACATGAGGATTTTTTACTGCCTGGAGCTACAAAATACCAAAGAGGGCAGAACCAGAGGGGACTTTCCCTGTGGTGAAGAGCTGCAGTAATACAGATTGTCACTCCCACTAGTGCTCAGGCAGGAGTAAAATCACTGCCTCATCACACCCAGCCACCTTGCACAGCCCTTAAAAACTGTAACTTGGTCACACTCAAGATTTTCAGGTGTGCATTTTTCTTAAATCCACAAAATCTCTCCAAATATTTTTTTTTTTCTGTAGGTCATGGTATATATCTGGATTATTCTGTCTTCAAGATACAAAACCCTTGATCTCCCTTACTTTTGACAGCTGTTATCAAGACCCTCCCAATCCCACAACTCCCACCAATGCATTACAGGATCCTTTTATGCTCTATCACCCCTCTGAAATGACCAGTTGAGGCCATGGGACTGCATCACCTGACTCTCTTTTCCCCATTTGCAATTACTTTTCTTCAATCTTCTCTTAAGGCAGGTGAGTCATCATGTGGACTGTCTCCTATTTTCTATTTCGTTTAAAAATGTCTCTCCAGAACTCCCCTCAATTGAACAGTCACTTCCTAGAGTTCTGGGAAAGATTCAGATTCCTGAACCGAAATTGTTACCATCGTTCCTGGAAGGGCAGACTCACCTGCTACAGGGACATCCTTCCGAAGTAACCTGTCATTTTTTTCTCATTTAGAGGAGGTATAAATATGCATTTTCAATTTGAAAGGTGTTACACATCAAAGCTTCGGTACAGACAAGAGGACAATTTGTCCCTGCAGCAACACACACTGAAATAGGCAGGAGTCATCCTTACATTTGTAACAATTAGTGCAATAAAAGGGTGATAAACAGCTCTCTGCTGTAGCTCTGCCTGTGCAGCAGGGGATGGGAGGCTGGTGGACACTGGGGGATGGCAGCAGTGGCAGTGTGCCTGAGCAGCCCATTTTAAAACCTCTGACCCCCATGTACAAAACAGAAACTCCCCTGTACAGGTGCTAAAACCCCCCTGTACAGCACTAAAAATTCTTCCCTCTACTTTGTAACTACTTCTACTATAATATCTAAACTTTTGTGACTTCTTGTTCTTCCTGCAAGGTTGGTAACTCATTCCATGGCTCAAACTCAAAATCACAGCTGTTTCCAGCTGCCTGCCAGGGTCTCAAATGCTTCTGACCTGGGCCCAGAACATCCAAAAATGTCTGAGGGACATTTTGAGTTCCAACACACTGATACCTCAGACTGCCGGGAAGCTGTGAAACCAGCCACATCTGAGACCTAAAAACAAGTTCCTGTAGTGAATATTGGCAAGCAACAGCCCTGAAACATTAGTAAAATTGTTCATAGACAGAACTATGTAATAGCTGTGCATTAGAGATTTATACAGAAGGTAGAGCAGATGATCCAGAAGCATCCATGGCACTTATTTATTAATTTTGGTCATGAAAACATGAGCCCAGAGGACACTGGGAAGGAGAAAGTGCAAGGCAAAACAGATCAGGCTGACTCACTGAGGTTCTGCCCTCAGCTGGATGTGTTGAGGGGACCATTGTGACTCCCCTCTAAGCAAGTTCATGCTCTGACACAGACACCCCTCAACTCAGCTCAGCCTTCTCACTGGAAATCACCCTGCAGACACTGTGGTTGCCTGCTCTGTGTCGCTCCTGGCCTTCCATAATGCTGCTTTTACCTTAAAGTATCAAATAACCCCTTGGAGCATTGCGCTGTTGAGTACATTTTGCCAAGAATAAATTCATTTATATACTTACTGCATCACGTTCATGTCCTTCTCCCAAGTGTCTGATTGCATGGATCACATTTTTCTTCTCATTCAGATATTCAACACCCAAATTCTTAGGGTCCTAGAGCTTATGCTGGCATTTATATGTCCCCTCCAGGGCAGAGGCGGTGGCATTTCAGCAGCATTGAAGGGAACAATAGAGTCTCTAATTTGAAGGGCCAAACCCTCTTTCATGCTTGGCTCACACATTTACCAAACTATGCTAAGCTTTATGGGAATTAAGGGGGCTAAACTTTGATTTGATTGTTGAGGACATCTGAATGTCTTTCTGGCATAGAGATGCTTTGGAAAAATGAATCCAGACGAGAGGGCCA